GTAATTCATATGCACATTGAAGTTCCAGAAACTCCACTCTAAACAACCAGATGAGGTCATGTCCCCTGTGACATGGTAGAGACATGAGGCAGGAAGTAGATCAAGGCCGAATTTCTAAGCCTGCACCCTTTAAAGAAATTGCTCATCCCACCCCTTGCTGAATTGTACCCCTATAAGGCCATGGGCTTCAGTCTCAGGAAACTATTCCTAGAATCTCAGCATCTAGGAATCTTTGGGTTGTGGGTTTGTTGGTTGGAATAAGAACTGACTTCAGTGCTCTCATGTTGAAACATTTCTTTGAATTAGTCCTTAATCGGCAAATGCTTGGCCCAGCAAACATTTAATTCTGACAAGCATCACGTGGCCCTCAGTGTCTATAGCACACCCTCCTTCCCTGTGATCCAAGTTCTGCGGAACTGTTTTACAATTCTGTGTGGTGTCTGTGACTGATAGAGATGCAAATTATGTCCTGTCTGGTGGAGGTTCAATTTCCTTCCTTCCCTCACTGTGGAAAACCAGTTTTGCCTCAGTTTTCATATTAATTTCAATATACGTGATTTATAAATTTGTTCTGCAGATTATCTTTTGAAATAGCTTTAAGATTTGCTTTTCTCATGAGTTTAAAAAAATCTTTATCATGGGTTCCTTTTTTTTATCTGCATGACAGTCATGATTGTATCTTTTTTTGAAAATTATCTTCCAACAGAATAGATCGATCTACAGACAAATGGTAGGGGGGGAGGGTTACAGAGCAACCAAAGGACTTATATGCATGCATATTAGCATAACTAATGGAGACAGACACTGGGGCAGTGGGGGCTTGCCTGGGGTGGGAATGGCTGGGTGGGAGGTCAATTGGGGAAAAAGGAGACTTATGTAAAACTGCAGGCAATAAAAAGAAAATTATCTTCCAACAGTGAATACTTTTCTTCTGCTCTATAGTAGGATTTTTTGACCTCTGCACTATTGACATTTTGAGCCAGATCATTCTTTGCCGTGGGGCTGTTCTGTGCATTGTAGGATGTTCAGAAGCATCCCCAGCCTCTGCCCACTAGAGGTTTCTAGCACTTCCTTTCCTCACAGTCACAACAACTAAAAATGTCTCCTGACAGGCTTAACCATCTCCTGAGGGGCAAAATCACCCCCACCCCAGCCTCAGTTGAGAACCACCGGTTTATAGTTAATGAACACACATCTAGTCAATACTAAGTTTACACAAAGCACAGTTAGAGTAGAAGTAACATTATTCTCTCTTTTTTTTTTTAAGTAGGAGGGATGAGTAAATATGGGAATATCACATTTCAGATGTCATGAAAGGTCATGAGAGCCATGGGAAAAACAAACATCACTGAAATACAAAACAGAAGCCAAAAGTTTTTGTTGTTTTTGGCAGAAAGCCTTTGGTTTAGGACAATTTGGGAGGTTTCAGTGTCCTGAGGTCTCCAGGAACTGGCTCGGGGGAGGCCATCACCTGCCAGGAAAAGGTGTTTGCTTTGAGTTTGCTACCATAAAGAGACTGAGTGCCTCAGGTATTCTACTTGAGCTGCTTCTACCCTAGGAGTGTCCATGGGTAATAGGTCGATTCAACATTCATTCACTCACTCACTTGCTCATTCATTCATTCACTGACCATCCAACATGGGCCAGGAGCTGTGTGTGCTGGGCGAGGAGAAAGTAGAGATCCAAGATACATTCCCTTTCTCCCAGGAGAGTTTAATCTACTAGCAAAATGGAGATGTGGTCATCACAGCCATGACAGTAGCTTCTACTTATTGAATGCTATGTGCTCAATGTAGACATCTTCTTATGTACTTTATGCTCACAGTAACCCTAGGGGCAGGAATGATTGCTTTCCAAATGAGGAAACTCAGGAAGGTTAAGAAACTTGCCCCAAGTCACATCTTCTGGCAGAGCAGGGCCTGGAATGCAGCCTGTGTTAGGTCTGCCATGTAGACCATGCTGCCTCCCTCTCCACTGCCCTCTGCTAAGTGCAGTAACCGACACACAGACCTACCACAGCAGAGCACAGAGCAGGCAGCCTAAGAGAGGTCAGCTTCTCCAGAGTGGTGACATTTGAGCTTGGCCTTGAAGCGTGACTGGTGCTGGCATGTTCGTGTGTGCTTGTTCCCATTCATCAAACATTTATGGGGCATCCGCACTGGCTCATGGACTCTGCACTGTGAATTTAAAACTAGACTTCACCTAGACATTTCATAGAAATGAAATGATACTACATGTGGTCTTTTGTGTCAGATTTCTTTTACTTAGCGTCATGTTTTTGAGGTCCATCTGTATTTTAGCATAACTATTTATAATTTTTGGAAAACACATAAAATCAATCAAGATTGAAATTGTTTATTTTCTTTCTTTTTTTTTTTGCCTTTTACAAATTTTATTTTTAAATGTCCAGGTAACATAAATTCATAGAGATAGGGGTATATTGGTGGTCACTTTGAGCTAGGGATGAGCTTTCTTTTGTGATGATGAAAATAATTTAAGATTGTGGTGATAGTTACATAACTATTCAAATATAATAATCATTAAAATGTGTACTTAAAATGAGTGAATTTTATACCAAGTGAATTATTTTAATAAAATGTAAACCATAAAACACACACACACACACACACACACACACACACACGGCTTCACCTCTATCAGGTTCTTTTTTTTTAAAAATATATTTTTATTGATTTGGATAGAGAGTTAGAAACATCGATGAGAGAGAGACATTGATCAGCTGCCTCCTGCACATGTCCCACTGGGGATGTGCCCGCAACCAAGGTACATGCCCTTGACCGGAATCGAACCTGGGACCCTTCAGTCCGCAGGCTGATGCTCTAGCCACTGAGCCAAACCAGTTAGGGCTCTATCAGGTTCTTAACATTTAAAACTATTCCCTGTCCTACGTTATTTTATGTGTAAGTGGTATAACCCCGGTTCCCCAAGTTCTCCAGCCTCCAGAATCAGCTGGCCATGACTCAGTGATACAGTCATTCTCCATCTCTTCTCCATTCGGAATCGCTGGGCCCCAGTGAGGACAGCAGTCCCTGTCAGAAGGTTCCTCCTGGTGCTTGATCATCTGAGGTTTGTGCATGTAAATCACAGTGTTTGCCTCCTCAGATAAGAGCTGGCTAAGAGGTGCTTTTTAAGAAACACACGGACGGCCTGGAGACAGCTCCAGTTGGAAAGCTGCCATGATCGCTGATAAAGACTCTCCTTGACCAAACTCGGATCAGGCTTCTCCGAATTCCTTTTCAACTAGGCCTCGGCTTTTGGGCTTTTGTGTTTGTCTCTGCATTGCCCTGTGTTAGCAAGAATCCTTTTAAGTCAGTTTAGCCAGAATCTCCCGCCCTGGATATCTGATCACCCTTGATATTGATGATGCTCCTCATCCCCCTATGTCCCCCCAGCGGATAGCTGACCACCCCGGCCTGCCTTCTGCAAGAATCCTGTTAGGTCAGTTTAGCAGAATCCCTGATGTTTCCTCTTATTAATTTCCATCTACTGACCCCTACTCTGTTCCTTGGCTATAAATTCCCACTTTGCCTTGTTGTATTTGAAATTGAGCCCAATCTTTCTCCCTACACAAAAACCCATTGCATCCGTCCTAACATCCATTCCTGTAGTCCTTTGAATAGTGAAATAAATGAAACAAGGCAATCACAAAATCAAAATGATTCCACTCACGTTCTTTAACAAGCATCATTAATAATTTTTTCTTTAATAGCCCCTCTTCTTAAGAAGGGGTAGGAGGCATTTCTCAGGCTCCGGCCTCAGGAAAAGCTGAACTTCTTATGAGTATCTGGTTTGTTTTAGCTTCTGGAAGAAATAAATATCTTGTAATATGTTATTTTTTCCTCTATCAAGTGTGCAGAGGTATATGGTGTGCATTTTTATGTTATCCTTACTCTCATTTTATTATTTTCATATCTATTATTTTTCTACCATAAAGTCCCTTAAATATTTATTCATCCTTAAACATTATATGTATTACCTGGCAAGCTCCTTCAAACCTTTATGGAACATAGTTAATATAAATAGCTTTAAAAAAATAGATTGAATTGTTGTCATCCTCAATAGAACTTAGTCTCACTTTTGCCCCCAGAGCCACACCAAACCCATCCAATCCTGTATCAGTTTGAAAGGTGGCTGGCTATATGTCAACCCTATGCTTTTCTGGGTTGAATCTTAGTGAGTAAAACTTTTAATGTATAAATAAGGAAAGGTTAACTTCCAAAATTTTTTTCAGATGGATCCACTTGTCAGAGGGGTCAATAGAGGGACATATTAACTATTTCTAACCATGAAAGTACATAAGTAGTCTCTCCATCTAGCCCTGTACATGTTTAAACACTAAATTGGTTAATGCTACTGGGCCTGCCTTTTATTTCCACAGAATGGTGTTTGTTTGGAAAGGATCTTGAGGCATTGAGCTCTTATGATACCATGTAAAAACAAGGCATTCTAAAGCCTGTCAGTGTTTTAAAAAAGAATAAAACAACCAAGCACAAGTATGGTCTTTGGCTAACTTTCTAGAGAGAAGCAAACAAGCCATCTGCCGGTAACAGGCTGCTTGGGGCCGGCGGATCACAGGGCCAAAGGAAACACTCATAGTAATTAGTGGCAGCACCAGAATAGAAACTTCAGCAGTGCTTTGCCTGTTGTTATGGTGACAGCCCCCCAAACAACCTCCCCCCTTCCAAGGCACTCAGCACTTTCTATGGCCTTCCATCTGGTGAGCGTTCTTGTCAAGTGCAGTGAAATTAAATTGACTGCTCATTTGTCACCCTGGCATTGTGTGCATGAGTTGGGCGGTGGGGAGGAGGAGGAGATGGATTAGAAGAAGTGGGGAGTGAGGGGAGGTTGTCCCCTGCACTCAGCAAGAGGGACAGGACAGCAGCTGGCCCACCAGCCCGGATCACCAGACAGGTGCTATCAAGGGGCCGAAAACTTGATGATGACTGATAGTGCCTGGGTGACAGTGAATTAGAGCTGGGTTTGGGGTCTTAATATGCCAGGTGGAAAAACAGTGCCAAGGCCCTTGATTTAGCAAGATATCATCCACATTCACTATCTATTTCTAAGTTATTGAGTAATTTCCATGGGTCCTTTAGAAGTTGTGAAGTGTAGGAAATTCTTGTAGACCTGCAAAAAATCCAAGAATTTAGCTTAGAAAGACTGGTTTGCTCCCGTTCAAGATTGTAACTGGGTTGCTGATCTTTCCTAGGGTCTTGTTCATTTTGGAGTGGATATAAAGGACATTGATTTGATTACCAACTGTCTGCTGCTGCCAAGAGCACCATCTCTCCAGAGGCCCTGGGCTGCACACTGAGGCCTGCACACTGCGGGGCCTGCACACATGAGGGTGCAGCTTATCTGTCTGTCACGCACTGGGAATTACGGAGAAGACACATTGAAGTGCTTTGGAAAGAATGGGTGCTGTACTCAGGGAAGAGCATGGTTTGCCTGTGGCATAAAATCTCTAGGTTTGGAAGTTTTATTCCCTTAGTAAGTCTTTCCTATACTGTGCTGCCCTGTGGACTGGAGTGCTCCTGTAATGCATAGAGCTGATACCATTTGTCGGGGCTACTTAGTGAAGAGATTTTCAAGATTTCTGGGTGGAGGCTGAGCCTGCTAATCGGGAACACACGTGTTCAAGCCACACCTGTCCCTGTATGTAGGCAGCACAGCCTCAGGGCCCGCCAGTTTTCCATGCCGAGCTTTTGTGATGTTCAAAGTCAGCGTTGAGGCCCCTGCACTCGATGCAAACATGTTTATTTTATTTTTTCCTTTTCCTGGGAGCCAGACTCTGCCATTCATCGCACAAATTTATTTCTAAGGACACGTTCCTAGTGTGACATTTAAAACGGATCCCGTTTGGGGTTGATAATCTTCAGTCAGGCTGGGTACGGTCCTGTGCAGTGGAATCACTTGGGGTAGCAGCTCACGGCATTGTGCCTGTGAGAGCCAGAGGCCTTAGGGGTCAGCCAGTCTCATTTGGCAGAAAAGCTAACGCAGGTCAGAGAGCTGCTGCATAGACCAGAGCTGGGCTGAGGCGGGGCAATACCTCCCCACCCTCTGCCGTCTGATTTCATCGGAGATGTTTGCCCACGTTTGGTGGGGGGCACCGAAAAGAGAGAAGATGTAGCAACTTGTGGTCGTGTCAGAAAGATGAGCGGCAGGAGCGTGTCCCAGCTGGGGAGTGAGCATTCTACCGCTGTGGGAAGCACGGGTATGATCCAGGGTGCCCCGTGTCTGTGGGTGTGCCGGGCCCTATGGACTCAGACTGGCCCCCATTGTCCGCTCACCCCTTGCTGGCTCTGTTCCCTGGGAACATTACTTGAACTCTGTGGCTTTCGTTTTCTCAGTTGTAAATTGGGAATGCTGCTCTGAAGATGCGGAGAGATAACACAGAGAAAGTCTGGGCACGCTGCGGGCACAGAGCCCACGCACAGCGCCAATACGTATGCTCTCTAGTTGAGTGACTCCCCATCGCTCTCTCCTGCCTGACTCCTCACTCATTTCTTAGACCTTAAGCTTCCCCTCCAGGCGCTCAGTAAACAGGCTGTATGCCTCTCCCTGCCAGGCAGCTGTTCAGGTTCCAATGGCAGATGGCCAGCGTCCTCCCGCCGTTAACATCTGACAGTCTTTGTGAACAGTAAGGGCTCGGGCCTGCCTTGACTGGCGACCCACAGCACCAGACCCACAGTTTCTGTTGGCAGTTTCTGGCACCATAGGGGCAGGGCCAGCCCCCCTCCCCACACCCCACCCCCAACGTGGGGACAAAGGCAGCCTCAGGAGGCAGGAAACCAACATGAGTTTGGGGGGCCTCACTCTCTAGACTGCCTGCCAGTCCTTCCGGAGGCCTCCAGCTTTAAGCCCGCTTCTCTGTATTGTTCCAGATAAATTCATTCAACAAGCGTGGGCCCAGCAGTAGGCTCAGTGCTCAGGACACACACTGAGTAAGATGGAGTTCCTGTCCTTGAGTTGCCCCTGGTCTCGTGAGCTGGCTGCTTAGATAATGAGATGGGGAAGACAACCAGCCATGACAATTTAGTGGTCTTATCAGAGAGGGACAAGTCACATCTGCCACATTTTCAGGGCCGACTCCGCTTCCAGCACCGTTCCTACAAGATCTTATGCCATTTAGTCCTCATTTAGGGTGATTATCCTCACATTACAGATGGAGAAGCTAAGGCCTGGAGAGATTAACTGCCCGATCAAGGTTGCCCAGCCTGTCTGGGTAATCAGAGTTGAAACTGACACACTACACTCAAAACGTGCAAAACCAAGGCTCCTCTGTGACCAGCTCATCTCATGCTGGGTGAGCTTCCCGCCGACGGCAGCACCAGCGTAACCATGCTCCTGACATGCAGCTCCATCTCTTCCCGCCTTTGTAGTGTAAGACAGTGATTTTGAAATCCAGCTGCCTACTGAGGCTCTTTCCTTCACCCCCCTCCGCCTTCCTAACATGCACCTGGGTTCAAGCAGGAGCTCACGTTTCCCCCTGACACCCCTCGGCCCTGGTATTTGGGTGATGAGCTGGTTGGGGCTCTGCAGGTCCCACCTGATTCTTTGGGAGCTACACAGGCCCTGGTGCTGGCAGGTGTGCAGCTGACCTGATTTGAGGTCTGTTTTTTAAGCACCATCAGAGGCTAAAGTCTCTACAACTCACCCACACCTCAATCCCGCGCCCCACCCCCACCCTTCCCCAGCCGACTTTATCTCACCTCAGCTCCAGCTGGTGCCCCAGGTCTCCCATGTCTCCGCTCTGACCTGACCCAACCCCAGGGGCAGTGACCATCCCGCTCTCCTGCTCCACTTAGCTCCCCCGACCTGGGTGTGCCACGGCAGGCCCCAGATCCCTGCAAGCCCCTCCTCCCTCCACAGAAGTCACCCAGGACAATCTAGACCCCAAATTATCTAGTTCAAATCAGCCAAGCCCGGCCTTTGAGCAGCTGTAAGTTGAAAATTTGGAATTTAGAAAGCCCGTTCTCTCTCCACGTGTGAATGGTTTGACTGTTATCTCACTACCTGACTCTAGTAAGTCAGCCTGCGGCTCAAAGCACATCGAGGACTTCTGTGCTCCAGGCAGCACCTGTTCAGGCATCTTAGTTGAGTGAAAACCCTCATGGCTGAGCTTCAAAGGTGGAAAGGCTGCAGGAAACAAACCTGCCCGGCAATGAGGGAGAAGGCCTTAGGAGGCATTTCAAAGAAACGGTTACCTCAACAGACATCAGAGGCAGGCTTTGCAACCTGCCCTCCTGTGCTGCTTTTATTGGGCTGTCGTGCCTCTCTCCATGCATGGAGCACAGAGGAGGAGACCTTAATGGCCAGGCTGGGGCAAGGGGAGCAGCAGGACACCTTGGAAAAGGTGACTTCCAGCTTAATCTAAGAGTTAAGTGAATCAATTATTAGTGGGATAGTGTTGGGTGTAAAAGAATCAGCACGGGGAATGGAAGTGTGAGAAGACAGAATAATTTGTGGAATTGAATGTATTCGTTGTCTTCTTCAATAAGTGGATTTTGAGCAGCACAATTGCTAGGCCTGGGCTGCGTACTGGGGATGGAATGACACTGGTATCACAGCTTAAAATCAAACGAGTTTCCCCTCCCCACCTGTGGGGCTGCTGGGCAACCCTGTGGGTGGTGGTGCGGTGTTCACCATGAGGAGCACAGGAGGATGGAGGGCGTGCGGGACAAGCCGTGTAGACAGCGAACTTGCCATGTTAGTGAACAGTTTCACAGACATTGAGCTGGGCCAGTTACCTCTTGCTGGGTAACAAACCACTCCTCACCTCAGTAGTTTACAACAACAACCATTTCATTATTTGACTGACTCAGCTGGGTGACCTACTTCTTGTGGTATCAGCTGGGGCTGCAATCATCGAGGCTGGAGAGTCTGATGGTTCAGTCCCATGAGGCCTTGGAGGGATGGTTAAATCTGCACTCAGCTGAAAGGCCGGGCAGGTCCCATCTCTCTCTCTCTCTCCTGCACTCTCTCCACGCAGGCTTGGGGCTCTCTTTCCACATGCTACCTCCGCATAGTCTCTCCATGTGGTTTCTCCAACAGGACAGCCAGACTTCCCACATGATGACGGTTCAAGGTTCCTAAAGGCATGTGATCCAAGAGCCAAGAAGCAGCACTGCTGAGCCTCTTAAAGGTTAGGCTGGAATGTCTACCACATTTCCCCTGGTTGATAGGAGTCACGGGCCAGCCCAGGTTCAGTGTGGGAGGGGATTCTGCAAGGCAGGAATATTCGGAAGTGTAGTTCATTGTGGGAGTGTAGTCATCTTTGCAGACTAGCTAGTCTGTTAATATGTAAACGCACATAAAATGTGGAATGGGCTGTAACAATATTTTATTTTCAAGGTTAACACCATAATCATCATAATCATATAATGTTTTCTGGGGATCATATTACACCTATTGCCCTTTAACCACTTTTCTTTCATTGAACAATATATCATAAATATTTCCTCAAGTAATTCAATATTCTTCTACAAAGTACTTTAAAATGTATTAACTATACAGTAGAGTACACAGATTTTAATTTGTATAGCTCAGTGCATTTTTACATATGTGTTCACCTGTGTAGTGTTCCCCTGTGTTGCATCCACCTATGTCCACATACTTCCTATGTCAATTATAGAACATTTCCAGGACTTCCTTTGTGCCATGCCCCAATCCATACCAGTCTCTCCTTCTCTCACTGAGGTAACCACTGCCTTGACTTCTAACACTATTAATTAGTTTTGCCTGCTTTTTAACTTCATATAAATGGATCATATAATACAGACTCCTTTGAGCCTGGGTCCTTTTGCTCATCAAAAGTCTGTTAGATTGACCCATAGTGTTGCTTGAAACTATAGTTCATTATCTTTATGGTAGTATTCTATTGTATGAGCAAACCGCAAACCACAATTTACTAGTAATTATCTGTTCTATTCTTCATGGAACTTAGGTTGTTTACAGAAGTGTTTAAATATTCTGTAACTATTTTAACCAATTACTTTTGTTGGACATTGAGTTTATTTTATTTTCTTTATAGACAGTACTGTGATAAATATTCTGAAAGCCAAACCCTTATGCACATTTTGTTCTTATTTTTCTTTTTTATTTATTATTTAAAAAAAATTGAAATTATTTCAAACATATAAAGACATAGAAAAACATAACCCACATTTAGGTATGTACTGTTAATATTAAATTGATACTAACAGTTTGCTATATCTGCTTCAGATTTCTCCTTATTTTATTAAATTAATTTTAATTTTTCAATTACAGTTGACATACAATATTATATTAGTTTCAGGTGTACACCCCAGTGATTAGAGACTATATATATCTTATTAAGTGATTATCCCAATAAATACTCATCTGACACCATACACAGTTATTAGAATATTTTTGACTATATTCCCTATGCTCTACTTTACATCCCCTTGACTATTCTGTACCTACTAATTTGTACTTCTTAATCCCTTTACCTTTTTCACCCATCCCCCAAGTCACCTCCCACCTGGCAACCTTCCAAATGTTCTCTGTATCTATGAGTCTCTGTATCTTTGTTCTGTTTGTTTATTTTGTTTCTTGGATTCATTTGTTGATAGATATGTATTTATTGCCATTTTATGGTTCATATTTTTTTTATCTTTTTTTCTTCTTAAAGAACATCCACAGGCAACCAAAGTGAATTCCTGCAGTTACAATTGCATGCAGATCTTTATAAACTGGTGCCCAAAATTAAGGCGTGAATATTCTCAATATCCATGTCAGTCCATTGTGCTGGGCTGAGAGGACGGGCTGGGACCCTGTCAGGTCCTCAGGACCTTGGAGAGAGACATGTAATACTGGACAGTGCAAACTGCGGACTATTTAATGCCTACGGGAAAGAAGAACCGTTTCATATTTAGTTACTACTTGGTCGTTAGCTTCTCTCACATACTTAAGTTTGTTGTTTTGTAGGGTTTTAAAGTCATCTGTGGATATGTATTGACATATTTAGTAGATTAGGCGGAAAGTAAGGTAATTTTGTATTATTAAAGACATTATATTATTAATGTCTTTGAGGGTTTGTGGTAAGAATCATCCTACATATTTCCCATGATAAGGATAGAAAGAGATGGACTGTGTGCAAATGCGTTGCATCCTGCGACCATCACTAACAATCACTCACTGAATAGGTGACCAGGTATTCTGTAAGAGATTTGTCTTCTCTTTTGTGCTTTTTTCACTTCATGTTTGATCCCTGAAAAACATTTCCTTGGTGCTTGGGAAGACACATTGGCCGATTTGATGTTGGACCAATTTCTGTAAATTGGCAATATTTCTTGATACAAATACCAAATGAACAGCCTGTGAATTGCAAGAGACTCAGAATTGATGCTGGCCATTTTCCTGCCACACTGACTCACATTTTCATTTATAAAATGCGAGTCAAAATTTATGCTTCAAAGAGTAGTTGTAAGAAATAAATGAGCTATTTGTAAGAGCACTTCACAAATACATAGTGCTGAACAATTGTACCACTTTACTAGTGGCTATTATTCTCCTTCAAAACATCCTCAGGGTAGTGTTACCACCCTATTGTCTATAGTCTATATCTTTTCAACTTTTCAAGAGATATTGGGGAATTTACTCTTAACACTAAGATTTATGAAGGCACAGCTTTTATTTTCCCATCTCATTACAATAAAGCACATGCTATTTCAGCTGCAACTAATATAAAAAAATGTTGCTCAATTACATATATCTTAGCCTAAATGAACATACATCATTATGTTGTATCCTTTACTATTTGTAAAATAGCTGTCAGCTACAGACACATTAGCTTATCCATTAAAGTTTGTTAATGCTATTGTCACAGAAACTGGGACTCTAAAAATGAATAAATGTCCATATGTTATTATTAAAATAAGAAACATTTATCTTGTGACAACATTGGTTTTCAGTCGCTTTATTTCCATTACATAAGTGTCAGGCAGGAATTGTTGACTTTGAAAAACATAAGGCCTAGTTACTTCATCAACAGAGAAAAAGTCTTCCCATTAAATGCTAGATATGGTCTGAAATTCTAGATGCCGATTCAACTTCTTGATTTAAAACATTTTCATTTGTATAGTCTTTTGATACATATTATAAGTAACAATACAAAATTCAGAATTTTTAAAGGGTATATGATAAAACATCCCTTTCCCCTCCCCATCCGGCCATTCGTATCTTGTCCTTAGAAGCAAATAGTGTAAATGGTTTCTTTTGAATATTCCATAGATATTTTATGTGTATTAAGACATATATTTGCATTTATATCTATCTTCATTTTTACCCTGTTATGGGATGAATTGTGTCCCCCTCAAATTCATATGTTGAAACCCTCGCCCCAGTATATGACAGTATTTGGAGAAAGGGCTTTTAAAGAGGTGATTAAGGTAAAATGAGGTCATATAGGTGGGACCTACTCCAAAGTAACTCGTGTCCTTATAAGAAGAGACAATTAGGCCCCTGCCGGTTTGGCTTAGTGGATAGAGCATCGGTCTGCAGACTGAGGAGTCCCAGGTTTGATTCTAGACAAGAGCATGCACCTCAGTCTCTCTCACATTGATGTTTTTCTCTCTGTGTCTTTCCCCTCCCTTCCACTCTTTCTAAAAGCCAAGAAGAGGGGTTCAGAAGAAAACAAACCTGCCAACACTTTGATTTTGGTGTTCTTGCCTCCAGCCCCTGGTATACATGTACCTTCTCCCAGTTATTCAATGAAACACCCACCTAGGAACTCCTGTGATGTCATTTTTCGGATGTAATTGAGTTTTCAGATCAGTTGTGTCAAGATAAGAAGATTATCTGGTGACAATTTCAGGTGAATGGGGTCTGGGGGGCAGTCTGGGGATTACCTGACCACATAAACCCTTCAAGAGCAGAGAGTTTTTTTCCATCTGGTTACGGAAGGGGAAGTCAGACATTTGAAGGATATGAAGGATTTGATGCACCATTGCTGTCTTGAAGATGGAGGGGGCCATGTGGCAAGGATATGGGTGGCATCTAGATGCTAGGAGCAGCTCCCAGATGGCAGCCAGTGAGGAAGCCAGGACTTTGTGCCACAACCCAAAGGAATTGAATTCTGCCAATAACTAGAATGAGTGTGGAAGTGAATTCACTCCCAGAGCCTTTAGATAAGAATTCAGCTTGGCCAATTGATGTCAGCCTTGTGATACCCTGAGCAGGGAACCCAGCCTTGCTGCGCAAAACTTCTGACCTACAAAACCGTGTGCTAATAAATGAGCATTGCTTTAAGCTGTTCAATTTGGGCCAGTCGTGGTTTTCTAATTGAGAACGTCTTCTTGATCTGAGGGAACAGAGTTCTGGAGTAAAGTAGCAGGTTTCCTTTTTAGCAGAAGCCTCCTGTCTGGTGCTGGAACACATCCATTGTATCTTCTTCCTCCATTTTCAACTGTCATTGATTTGCCTACCTGTCTATTGGCAGAATCTGATCGGCCTCATTGACAAACCCTGTCATTCACAATAGACTTTCATTAGTTTACTAAGTAGTGTATGCCTGTTGATCTTAAACTGCTCCACAATCCATTCTGCCTCTCCAAATCCAAATTAATATAATCATGGTTCTCAGTCTTGAAACTGTCCTTAGGCTTTTGGCCATGGCAAGCCCTGCAGTCTTTCAGCTGCTATTTCACAAAGAGAGTACCAGTTGTCATCAAACCAGCACACAGCAGCACCAGGGGCAGCAGAAGGAGGTAACTGTGGTCAAAACCATTTCCTAAAATAAAACCCTTAAAAGTATAACTTTAATTTGTTGGAACCTATTAGACCAGGGCAGGGATTGATTTCCAGGTAATTAATTATGAAATAACTAAGACTTAACCAAAGAAGTCTGAAATTCCCAGGTAACTGAAATAATTGTGGAAGATAAAGCTCTTAGCAAGGAAGGACTTCTCAACACATCCAAAAGAACAATAGTATCAGAATCAATAAATATTTGGGAATGAATTTAACAAAAAAGTGCAGAACTTAAACCCTGAAATCTATAAAACATTGTTAAAATAAATTAAAGAAGATTTAAATAAATAGAAAGATATCTCAGGTTCCAGGATCAGAAGATAATATTATCAAGATGGAATACTTCCCAAAGTGATCCACAGAGTAATTCAATGCCATCCAAGTTCCAGCTGAGTGCTTTGCAGATATTGACAAGATGGTCTGGTCTTCATGAGCTCCTGCTCCTCTTTTGGAACTTCTCCATGGGCTGTTGGGCTTCCTCATAGCGTGGTGACTGGGTTCCAACAAGAGGGAGCATCCCAAGAAGGAAGTGGAAGCTGCTGGTTTCTTGGGACCTGGGACTAGCAACTGGTACCATTACTTTTGTTGCATATTATTGGCCAAACAGTAGCAGAGCCTAGATTCAAGACAGGGGACATAGACCTAAGACCTCAACTCTGATGAGAGGTGTGTTGAAATTTGGATGACGTGTTTTATAACTGCCACACCCCATAGTAATTTCCAGAGCTGAGATGTGAATCCAGCTGTGTCTGAATCATAGAGTTCAAAGTCTTAAAAATCCTGCTTGGCATTTCAAATAGGAGGGGTGAGAGATGGTGGGATAGAATAATGGGAAAGCTATTTAAAATATTTTTTTTTGTATTAGAAGGGGTAGTGGTTAATTGTTATATTATCCTGCTCACAATCATGACCATTTTGGAAAAAAAAATATTTGCACTATTTGTGATGTAATTTTAATGCAGAGTTTCTGGAGATGCAAAGGTAAATTATATGAGAGGTGAGTCTATTAAAAGGACAAATAGGAGAAGGGCTTGTTTCCCTTTTAGCAATAGATCTGAAGTCTACACTTGCTGTGAGCAAGAAGAGCTCTGTTTATGCTTTGGTTTCATCAGAAAAGAGCAG